TAATCGATAAAAGTGAAGTGACAGCCTGACAGTTTGTTGTTCCTTGAACATTACTCATAATTGTGTTGTTACAGTGGCCTTTCTCTTCGGTTACACTCACTTGAACCAGTGGCGTACAAACTCTGATCAATAACGATCGAGACGTTGCGAAACCAAATAATTGAAGACCAATCTACTTATCACCCCAAGCACTAGAGCCAGCATTAGATAAGTGTTAACGATACGGTAGAAAGAACAGTCAAGTTAATGCAAGACTTCCATGGCTTAATCACTGCAGATGAGGAAAAAAAACATTTACCTTATGTTTCGTACAAGAACACGGCAGCTATACTGATAGTTGTGGAACTATACTACAACTATTTAAAAATGTAATGACTCATACGCGTGATCAACACGTGATCAGAGCTCGATCCCGGCTTCCTTCCAGTACAGCCGTATAGCGTACGACATATGTCGTTTTTATGGCTTTGCGGTGGTCAACAGCACAGACAGAGATGGAAATAATGGCTGATTGTTCTCCGCCGGTAGAACCAATGAAATCAAAGACGCGCCTCGACCGGCAGACTCATAGGCGTCGGCAACGCATTGGAACGTGTTTCGTTGAGCGATCGCATATTGTGTGTTTTTGTAAGAATTGTTGTGTGATTGTTATTGTTGTGGTTTCTGTGGTTACTGTTTTGGTTATACTTATCCATGGAGAGTACAAATGGCACGAGTGGAAGTACTGAAAGCCAGGGAACAAGTAGACGGCTTCGTAAAGCACTGAAGAGGGACGCGAAAGAAATCGTGCTCAACGTGTTCAATTATCTGAACAGAACTATGTCGCAGGGAGATGCATTCGCGCGTTGTGAAAGTATGACAGGCGTTCCAGAGTGGACCATTCGCAGGGTGGTGCATGAAAAGAAGAAAACTGGAGCTACTACTGATCCAAAGTTTAATTTGCCATTTTGCCATTACTTAAATCCGCCACTGTGACGGACATCAATTATTTATAAGCTGACAACGGCATTGCGATTTTTTGTATGCAGCATGTCAGTATATAATGAATTGTCCAGCAACAAACTTCATTCGGCAGCTCTTTCCTGAGGCATCCTGTAAGCAAACAATCCTAGCACCGTCATCAGTTGTAGAGTGGCCAATTGATAGTAGGACATCCTGGTTTAAAGCATCAAACGAAAGCTATCGCTGACGAGCAGTTCTGCATATTACTTCGTAATAATGTAATAAAGCACATATAAAAATCAGTCATCACAATTCAAGCATTTTTATCAAGTGGTATCGGTAAATCAGCCGCCTGTCGAACTTAGTTTCTTCTTTGGTGAATAAGTTGGGCCGTGCAGTCCTGGGATCTTACTCCATAAATTGGACCTCCATCAAATAATATAGGCTTTAAAACAGTGGCATTGACTAGACATTTGAAGTATGTGCTTCAGTTTCAACTGGTTGAAACCGCATATTCGGATAGCTCTCCACAGTGTTCCTCAAAAGATTAGATTGCCATATGACATTTTTTTCAAGCAGCTCCCTTTTTTCATTATTGCTCTAAGATGGATTCAAGTATGCTACTTAATCTCACAATGGACTGTAGCAGATTTTGTCGATCAAATGATATTACTTTATCAACTGTTAATATCTGCAGTAGAATTCAAACGGGCCGATAACATTGTAGAATAGGTATTATAGCTTTAGATGATATATCCCAAGCCTCTACTTACCATCCAACAATTTTGTGAATACAACCCGCGTCCCTAAGGTATTGAATTTAGGAACGAAACTTTTCGTAACAAGTTGTAATTTTTGAATCTAAAATCAGGATTTTTCGGTAAATATGCACAATAAGACAATAAGCTGTCTCACCTATTTGGACGAGACATGGGTAAATGCAGGTCACACAGTTAAAAAAACCTGGATAGACAAAAACGTAGCGAGTAACCGACAAGCAAGCATTGAAGGTTTGTCAACAGGTCTTCGTGGACCGTCAAGGAAAGGTCAAAGATTGATCTCATATTGGTAGCGATAGTGGCTTTTTAGAAGAGTGTGACTTGATTTTCGTCTCTAAGAAAGGAGGTGATTACCATGACGAAATGAATGCCAGCTGCTTCGAGAGCTGGTTTCAAGGGGTGCTTCAGCGAGTTGAGCCCAACTCTGTGATCGTCATGGATAATGCTTCCTACCATAGTCGTCGAGCCGAACGTGTACCGACTATGGGATCTCGAAAAAGTGACATGCACCAATGGTTGCGCGAAAAAGGAATCCCGTTTGACGATTCATGTGTGAAAGCGGAATTGTATGAAAAAATTAAACAGCACAAACCTGCGAACATTAGTTACGTGACTGATGAGATGGCCCGTCAATGTGGTGTCACTGTGCTGCGGTTACCGCCCTACCACTGTGAACTGAACCCAATAGAGCTCATCTGGGCTCAAGTGAAGGGCTATATTGCACGCTATAACACAACCTTCAAATTACCAGACGTTAAGGTTTTACTTGAGACTTCCATACAGCTAGTAACGCCCGAAGCTTGGCAGAATGCTATCCGTCATGTTGTGAAGGAAGAAACAAAAATGTGGCAGCTTGACCACCACATCGACACCATCATACAGCCAGTTATAGTCAATTTCAACGAGGAAAGCTATAGCGACAGTTTATTACTGTCAGATGTAAGTGGAAGCGACGATGAATAAAGGTAATTCCCAAATTTTTGACTTACAATATGTTTCAAACCACTCTTTATTAAGCATGTGACAAATCTAGTTCACCCATGTTAAACATTCATACCCCGCCTATGAACAGCCGACTACTGGTAGTTAAGTGATGTTCACGTGAACATCGATGAGTCATTGCAGTTTTAGGTAGTTATAGTATAGGTATTCTTATGCAATGAGATTGTTCAGTCTAAAATTAGATATGGTATGATCGTCTGGAGCGATGCAAATTTTGTCTCGAGAGCGGGCGCGTTTTTAAGCTTTTCAGAGGAAATTTGAAGATCATCCATCACTTATTTATTTGCGCATTCCTGTAGGTGGTAATTTCTATGATAGTTGTCAAACAGTTGGTAATTCCGATCCCGTCTGTATGTATGACACCTGTGACCAGGACTGAAGGGTTTTGTAATTTCTGAAAATGGATGCAATAGTGTTGGATCAATCACTTTCTCTAACTTAAAAGTGACTTTGTCTAAATTCTGGCACAAGGCTACGACGAAGAGCTTCGATGTTTTCCAATTTTCTGCTGACAAGTTATTTGAATAAACATATTTTAAAAATTCATTCTTAGTTCTCTTGAAAAGAGAAACGAATATAAAAAGTCTGATATAACCGTACCTATCCCTAGAATGGAAGTGAACAAATCCATTGTCCACCATTCTGTACGCTGTGCAGTTTGTAATGAATATTTCTCCACTTAACATGAGTCATTATGTCCGTGACAAATCGTAATAATAACTATTACAATCTACGTACTTTAATGCCGCCGTTATGGAAATAATGAAAATTATACCTAGAAGCACGTAATTATCATCCCTAATGGTCCGTGACCAGGTGCTTAACTGAATATATGTAAAACAATCAAGGAAATTAACTAGAGCGGCACTCACAAAGAAGGATATTAATTAGTCCTTTTAACATTACTAAAAAAACCTTATTTGATTAGACATGTTGCGTGTAGTATGAATAACAATTTGCTTTAAATCGTTTCCAGACGCAGAAAGCTAAAAGCGGTTACAACACTGATTCGACTGAAAACTGTGGGACTGAAGTTCAACGTCTATAACATTTTGAAGTAGATTCATAATATCTTTTTTATTCAGATTTCTCGAAATATCTATAGAAATGTTGACAGCACGTGGTATACAGGCACGGTAAACTAGAGAATAATCAAACAGGGTGTTAGGGATATTTGGGCTGGCTTTATTTTAAGACGAGTCTGAGTTATCGCTTGCCTACCCCGCGCACGTGCGCTGCTAGGACAATAAAAGGAAGAGAGATACTAGCTCAGTCGCCGAGCACCTATGGGGAGATGGTGAAGAGTCTAAATGAAATTGGAGGGCGATGAATTGATTTGGGTTTCACACTTCAACTGTCACAAGAACATTCGACGCAAAAAAAGGTGCTCTTGGTCCTAGAGCACGAGCTTCTATCAAATTATGACATTGATTGGAGGTACTTCAAATGAGTGAGGCAGTTTCATTGTTTCAATGACATATAGGTGTTACAATTAAGAAATATACCGTAGTTCGAAGAAATATGTCTTATAAAAACAAAGTCACGATCCTCAATAAAAAAAAAGGTAACTCTTGAATAGGTTTGCCATCCGTCCCGATATATCGGGACTGTCACCGTTATTAGGCCTTATGTCCCGAGGTCCCGATATGGCAGCGATAAGTCCCGATTTATGAATAAATTAAGAAAACTAAACCTATCACTTGAAAAATTAAGTGCTTTTTGTGGCGACAACGCCAATACAAACTTTGGCGGCGTTGATAGACGCGGTGAAAAAAACGTACCCTTTAAATTGAATCCTTTGGTGCAAGAATGTGTTAACTCAGATTTTATAGTTCGGAGATAATTGGCCTCAAAGTTTAAACCCTGACATTTTTTATATGTGTGTGCTATGGTTACTTTTATTACTCGAGGTTATTTAAGACAGAGATAAAAGTATCTTGAATAGGCAGTTTTGTTAAAAAATATGTTTTTATCATCAGAAATGTTAAAAAGATTGGTGAAAATCTGACTTGACACCTTTTTAAAAAACGGTTATTTGCTTGGACAGGAAAATGAAAACAGTAAAAATGTGTCAATTCAATGATGTTATTTATAAAAAGTAAACTTAGTCTTTTTTAATTATTATGAACTCACAAAGGTAATAACAAATGATCCACAGACTAACTCCTCTTCTTAAGTTTTCATAAAATCCTCTAAAATTTTCTGGTATGAAAGGAATCTGTTCCTGAATATTGTCAAACCTGTTGGCCCCAATAGGTCGGCTTCTATCGACGTTCACTAATAAAGGTTCATTTTGTCCTCTGGTTCATCAAAAGAGTATCTGTACTTGGTTATACCAAATTCCTCAATCTGGATCCATCTCACATCTCTGAATGAAAATTTCTCGTTAGTTGTAGTTTTTTTTCTATCGACGAGTCCAAGTTTTCTTGGAAGCTCTTTTGTATCAACAAATTTGTCCGCCGTTCTTGTAATATTGAAAGGTGTTTCTTTTCTGGCTTCTGGCATGATATAAATATATTGGTCTATTGTATAAATTGATTGGTGCTTTCTGATAGACTTTTCAACAGCTGCAAAGTCTCTATCAGAGTCCATGAAAGTATGCCCCACTTCAAGGAACTTATGGTCAATTTTTCTGAACACTCCTGAATTTATTAGATAGTGCCATAGACAGACAATATAAATTTTTTTATTTTAGCCACCTGCCGAATCACTCCATGCAATTAGATGATCGGGAGCGATGGCTTGGTCCTTCATATTCTCCAAAAAGGCCATAAGTGAGCTGCCAATCTCTTCAGGACCGCGACTCCCTTGGTCTTCGGTCCAAACGTGGAAAAAGCCTATACCATTTTGTTGTTGTGTTGATATTAAATGTATTCCTAGATTGTCGAGCCATACTTGTAGTAAATAGAAGGCTTTGCTTGTAGAAATTTTTGGCATGGGAAGCGTTTTTTGTAAATCAAATGTGAGGTATATGATGTTTTCGTTTGCTTTTGCATTTTCTCGACCAGATTTTTGTACGTCAAGGGCTTTTTTATACTTTGCAACATGTTAATCAATTGATCCTTCATCGCAAACTGCACATGTATCAGTCTGTGGAGAACCAAATCCAAAATTAAAATCATTGACAAAAATTTGTCTATATGTAAAGGTAGAATACTGGGACGATATTTTCGTTTGCACACAAAGCATACATTTTGTTGATGGATAGCCGTGGAGAAAGGTAGAGTCGGTTCGGATTTTTGTTTCGAGAATAATGAGATACTTCAGAAGGAAATGATCTGTTGTGTATGAACGAAATTGCGCTTTTCTTCGGAAGTTTTTCTGGGTCTGCTATTATGGTGGCCTCTTCCATCTCGCTTAGGGCAGATCTACCACTAGATACTAGATCTCTAATTAAATCTAGCTTTTTACGTCCAACATCTAATATAGACATAACTGCTTCCTTACACACACGCCGACTATCTCATCCTACTTTGAAAGAATACCTGAGTGACTTCTGACGATGCCTATGAAGTCCAGAGGACTGCTTAACATTGTATGCCTGCATTATTCCAAACAGATAAGCATTTTTTGCATTTTGATCTAATGAATAATACTCTTCAAATAGACGCACCTTTTCTTCGTTTGAAAACCTGTTGTCACACTTTAAACGACATTTTTCTTTACATAAACGTTTTCCAATACAAGGATTTTTTGCCTCAATATCAATACCTTTATAAGTTTTATATGCCTTTCCTTTATTTTTGTTCTCTTTATTTTCATAACGTTTCCATGTTTTTGGAAGAGATTTTCGTTTTCTGGACTATTTTTGTTTATTCTCATCCTCAAGTGGACTTTCATTATTTGGTACCATTTCTGTTATGCCTAGCTGCAGCACATCATGTCCATGAGCTTCCTTGTTTGCCTGAGTCTGGATTCTAGCTTTTTTTATGAAAAGCGGTTCATTGTCTGAATCGGTTTCGGCATCACCTAAAAATATAAGTGATAAGCCGACATATCCAGTAAAACAGGTTGTAAAACTTTGAAATCCTTGTGCGAGTATTTAAAATTCTTTAAACTGAATAAAAGTTATTCATTGTATACGAAAAACTTACTTGCATGTGTTGGTGGATGGGTAGTTTCTTGTATGTTTTGGCATAATGAGCTCCATTGAATACCACTAGGCCCTGGAAGTGGTGTAAATGTATCGTCGCCGTCGTTGTTGGGTTCATGCAGACAATTTTTGAAGCATTTCTTAGACAGAACACCATTATCATCACTTTCGTCTCCTAAAAATGTGTTAAACAGTTTTTAGTAAAACCTGCAAAAACATATCGATCACCTTAAAAAAGTGATAAAAATATTTGGGCGATTAAATATTACAAAAATTAAGTTACCTGGTAAATACTCCGACCCTGAGCTTCTATATGGCTCCTCTGTGTCATCTGTCAAATAATAATATTCTCCTAGTTCTGCCGCTGATCTGATTATTTGTAAACTAAAATACAAAAACTGCAATAAATAAAGAGCAAATAATTTTGAGGTTGTTGTTTTGCAATTTTAGAAGGCTCATTTTTACCTTTTAAACAAAAACTGAATTCATTCTGCTACATAATCTCACAGTCCAATAAAATACTAAAACTTTGCATACCTTATACATTTGAAAAACAGTCCAAATATTGCAGGAAATAGAAAAACCAAACCTCCCACGAAACGTGTTCAAACGACAACAAATTGGAGTTTGAGTGCAACAAGGTGTTAACTCAGGAGTTAACACCTTTTTACCTATAACACAAAAAAGTTAACACCTTTTTAAGTTTACAGATTGAAGCTTTTGATATAGTTAACACTTTTATGAATCTCTGTATCCAAGTACTGAGAGACATCTATGGCCAGATAGATGAACTACCACAAAAAGCACGCTTTTAACACCTTTTTGCACTAATAATCTCAAAAAACGAAAAAACTGAGTTAACACCTTTTTGCACCAAAGTCTTCAATTAAAAACTGAAGTAGGAAGAGATATTGAGGGCATTGGATGTCCTGCTCATATTCTACACAACACCATTTCAACCGCTGCAAGCTTATTATCTGTTGATGTCGAAGTTATCGTCCTTAAAATATTCAATTATTTTTCGATATAATATACCATTAGAACAGAGAGACTAAAGGAGTTTTGCGACGTTTCTTACAGCAATTTGTTGTCGCATTCAAGAACGAGGTAGCTGTCATTGTTCCCTGCGGTTGAACGAATTTTAAACCTATGGACTCCAATAAAAGACTTTTTCAGTTCCGAAGAGAAACCGCCCAAAATTATTGCAAACTTTTTCGCCAACCCACTCAGTGAAATTTATTTGATGTTTATACATTCGCAGCTCTTTTTGTTTCAAAAGAATATTAAAAAAATTGAAAAATCAAAAATATCTGTTATAGAAACTAAACAACTGCTAGATGATACCAAAGAATCGTTGACTGAAAGAAAGACAAAGAAATTTATTGGAATTCAAACAAAGATAGAGGTAACTAAATTAAAAGAGAAGTCGTCAGAAGAAGTTATAAAATTAGTACAAAAATTCGAATCAGAAGTCAGCGAATTTTTTGGAAAGAGCTATTGAATATCTTGAGAAGTGGTCGCAATCATTTGTGAAGTTTTCCATTTTTGATTGGATGCATTTGTCTCATATACCAGAATGGGAAGACATAGAAAAGACAATTAATTATGTATTTTATTTCAATTGATATACAAATTTCGGGAAAATCTTGCTTTGACCAGTCTATACAGGGTGTTTCAGTTTATTGTTGCATAACTTTATGATTCGATAGAACTTTTAAAATTAATGCATAAAGTCTATATAAACATGGGTCGAAAAATGCGTGGCTTCCGAAATACAGGGTGTTTAAATTTACTTTCTAAAATAGTTTTTTTTTTAATATTTCGAACAATATTTGATGTATAACTGCGAAAATTGGTATACAAGGGTTTTTTGTACGACAAAACGAACCATGGTCATAGTTTTACTGTAGCCGCTAGAGGGCGCTCTCTACTGTACCTGTAGTGTATTAAAATGACCGAAAAAATTTTCTTAGTGCAATTTTTTGCTTTTTGAATAAAAAAAACCGATTCTTCGCACTTTTCAACATAAAAAGCTCTGTTGTGAATTTTCGTTATAGTTAGCCGTTTTTGAGATAATTCGATCTTTAAGGTTCGATAACGTTAAAAAGTCAGTATCTCGATAATTTTTATAAGTAGGCTGTGCCGGCAAATATTTTTGAAATTGAAAGCAAAATAAGGTTAAATGTCAATTAGTTGACAGTTAATTTTGTTGTCTGTTGAAACCTGAAACGTTTTTTTGCAGTTGTGAATGCACGAAATTTAGTTTCTTTTACCTGTTTTTTTTGTAAGTTTTATAAAAATGCCATTTTTATTCTCCAATCAGGAGTTAGCGGATATTCATTTTGTGCATGGCTTTGAAAATGGAAACGCAGCACAAGCAGTCAGAGAATACGCACGAAGATTTCCAAACAGACGACATCCAACTCGCTCAGTATTTCTAAGAGTGCGTCGCCAAATAATTGAAAATGTTCTTAGAATTGACCATAGACGTCCTTACCATTTGCAACCTTTGCAAGGACTACAGCCAGGGGACGGAGAACGAAGAATCTCATTTGGTCAGTGGATTCTTGATAGAACTGATAATAATAGGGAGTTTTTAAGTAACGTTTTATGGACCGATGGGTCATGCTTCACTAGACGTGGAGTGGTAAATTTTCATAATCAACATATTCGGTCGCATGAAAATCCGCATGCAGTTCGGGAAAGAACTTTTCAGCATGAATTTAGTGTGAACGTGTGGATTGGTATCTACCGTAATCGACTATTTGGAACCTACCTTTTGCCTGCAAGGTTAAATTCTGCGACCTTCTTGGAATTTTTAAAGGCTGAATATGCAAATATGTGGGATGGTGTTATGTTAGATTTAAGAAGATTGGCCTGGTTCCAGCTTGATGGTTGTCTAGCTCATTATTCGAGAATAGTTAGAAACTGGCTGGACGAAAATTATCCAGAAAGATGGATCGGCCGAAGAGGGCCAGTCGCCTGGCCTCCAAGAACCCCTGACCTAAATCCATTAGATTTCTTTGTGTGGGGATTTCTAAAAGAAAAAGTGTACCAGACTCCCGTAACAAGATATATGCTAATAGACAGAATCAGGAATGCATGTGGTGAAATAAGGCCTTATTTGAATAATACTATACCACGTTCGATCATTCGTATATGTGAATTGTGTATTGAACAATTGGGTTTACATTTCGAGCAACTACTTTAGATTTTGTATGTTTGTCCTAACTATCCAATAGCATTTTAGTTGTAAATAATTAATTTAATTTGTTAAAAATAATATTGGAAAACTAAACAAATTAATATTCTGTTTTTCTGTGTTATTTGCAGTTAGGAATTATTGCTGTGTTTAAAAACACAATCTAAACGATCATCTTAATTACTTGTAATGATCAAATCGAAAATGTAAAAAAAAATATTATTTTCCCATAAATAATTAAAAATGCATCGAACCTTAAAAATCGAAATATCTCAAAAACGGCTAACTATAACGAAAACTCACCATTTGGACCAAAAATCACAATTCGTTAAAATATGTGAATACTTATTTTCAATTCCTTCACACAATGCCAATTCTGAGAGAATTTTTTCCTTAATGTCAACTCAATGGACCAACGAGAAGAACCGCCTGTTGGCACAGTCTGTAGAAGCAATTTTGCAATGTCAGTATAACTTTAAAATGACGTGTGCTGAATTTTATAAATATATTAAAACGCAAAAAGATATTTTAAAAAAAGTAAAATCCTCGAACAAATATCTTTAAGCTTCAATTTTTTTTTTGCTTCTTTTGTACCTATTTACCCCTAGGTAGAATTTTTTACTGAAATACCCTGTGTACCTTTTATGTTTGTTAGTTAAGAAATGTTATAGGTTATAGATAATGTTCATAATGTTTACATTTTATTTTTGTTGAATAAAGTTTTTTCCCCCCTGGTGAAATTGTCCCGACATTGGCTAAAGTATTTATGGCCACCCTACACTTGAACCAAGAACAGTCTTTTTTTGTGTGTATGTGTTTCGCTTTTGACTATTTATAGGTACTTTCTATCAAGCTCGATTTTATCATGCTCTTTTACTAACATATCCTTTTGTTTACTGACACAATTAAAAATACGAATATCCACCTCAAACGGACTTTGGCATCATTGCAGGGTATTATTTTATTCCCATCGATGACTGAATGAATACCACTGAATCTTTGACAACCTTCGTGGATCTCACGATATGTGGTGTCAGATTATTATTATTATATCAAGGGCAACCCAAAAAATCATGCTTTATTGTATACCTTGATGTGTGGTTCAATTTTGCAGATTTCTTTTTGAGTGGCTATACAGTGGACCTCCGGCAATCCGACAAACATTATGCAGGGCAGTGTCGGATTATAGAGCACTGCCTAAGACCCCCTATAGTCCGGAATTTTAAACAAAAGAGTACCTTGTAATACGACAAATTACATATCCAATGGTAAGACTATATATGTTATGTATATGTATGTACTTTGAAGTACAAATCATACAACATAGTTTTTGTATGTCGAATTTAGTAAATTAAATAACAATAGAGAGCTTACGTTTTATTATAAAATTAAGCATAATTGCACCTACATATGTACCAAAATAACCAAGAATTATTAATCAAAATCATTAATGAATTTATCAAATTATGAAGCTTGGAAATATTCATCAATTTTTTTTTGTTTAAGGTTGTTATAACGCGAGATCAGAGCTTTGTCCCTCAGTTCGTTGTAGGATGTACCATTCTCTTCAGCCCATTGTAAACCTAGCTCAAAGGCGTTAATTGCGTCTTGTGCTGTGACTTGTGGAGCAGTTGCAATCACGTCGTCGCTATTTTCCTGATTGTTTGTTATATAATTAGAAACTTTTTTATAATCTCTTCATCAGACATTTCATGAAAAACATTTTCCTCTTTATCCATTCCACGGCATCAGATTTCAAAATCTTCCGGACTTATCTGTGTTTCAGTAGCGACTTGTTCTATAACTTCCGAAGTATCTAACACTGATTTGTGGAACGTTGCTAGGAGTGGTGACTATATCTGGCCATAACTTTTTCAAAGACGAATTAATAGTTGTTGACGGTAACGCATTCTACGACTGACAAAGAGCAAAAACCAAGTCTTTCATATTAAATTCATTTTTCTATTGGTTTGTCTTTTGATACGGCTATCAGAAGTACGTTTTTCTTATAGTCTTGCTTGACAAACTGAATGATATTCTGGTCCTTTGGTTGAATCAGTGCAGTGCAATTTGGCGGAAGAAACATCGCAGTGATGCATTTATCCTCAGTTGTTAGTTCTTCTTCAGACGTATGACCGGGACCG